TTGGCCGCGCAGACCTCGAAGGTCTTTGAGTTGTAACGCAATTAATGGCGTCGATTTCTTTAAGTAACTTAAATCCTGGGGAAAAATGGTTAATTAGGATAATTAAAACTTAGCAGGTGAAGAAGTTGAATAACATTTGACAGGGAATGCTAAATGCATTAAAACTTTGAAACTGTCACTGCAATTAGCCATCTATCCGCGCACAAAACACGCTAGAAGAAGAAGTATCTATTAGAAAACAAACTAGGAATGCTGAAGACCCCGTATTTGGTAGAACTCCTCACAGCTGTCATGCTGAGCCATAATATCGGCGAAACGCGTGCATGACAGATCACGCAATATGGGTATCTAATGTGACTGAAGCAGACGGCACATCTTGAAAAAACGTTAATATAGTACCTACAGAAACGACCAACATAGGTCATGAACGAGGGAGCAGCGATCGAGGTACCTCTGTTTCAAAACAAAGTGCACGATTTCTGACAATATTACACGGTTCCAGCTTAAACATTTCACAGCCCTTGATTTCTTTATCTGTTCGTGATTTCCTTAAAGGTTCACAGCTAAAACCATCTGCTGGCTATCACAAGGATTATTGGGAGGATATAGAATAAGCCTTCGGAGAAAAAAAGTCAAAAACCGGATTCTCTAATGGTTTAGGACTAATAGTAGCAGTAGCCAGTGCGTAGAACACTTTTTTAATCCTGCTCCAGTGCATTTCAATGCATAGGTGTGTTGTAGATGTTTCGAAAACGCCTTTCTGTAGTAAAAAAACGGCAATACGAATGAGCCTATAACGGGCCCAGTCATCGCATTAGAAAATCCGCCATTACCAGACTATGAAGTGGCAGGTCCTGGAAATCACGGTTCCAGACGAACAATACTGACTCCTCCAAAACTCCAGCATTTTCTGTTTTTGTAGTAATCCGCACCCCCTCGGAGTGTGGAAACCTAAGTCGTCAAATGCTTGCAATACGGAATCAGGGAATGCCAGAGCAGCTGCGCAAATATACGTGTGAAGTGGTGAAACAAAAACGACTTTTCTATCAATCCAAAAGAGGACCAATGGGTAATAAAGTGGCTCTTTAGTTGCATAAGGTCATCTAATATGCTCAACAAAGTGCATGTTAATCAACTTTACTGTATATCCTAGTGAGGGAAGTGGCTTACGCTCAAGCAAAAGTAAAAGAGGTACTTTGGAGGCGGATATAAATGAGGCGGGTAAAATGATTCATAAAAAATAAAAACAACAGAACTACGCCTTGCTGTCGCTCGCTTATTTAGCGAAAATTAAACAAGAAGGTAAAATATTACTGCAGTTTCTTAGTGTTTATTAGTCAAGGCATTTGTCTAACGGATGCTAATTGCTATCATTCCCAAAACGGAAGTAACAATTCCATACCAGTAACGACGCGTTCCGAACTCCCTATGTTAATCGGCGAAAGAACTTTTCAAAAGGTGTAGGATTTATCCAGAAGCCCAGATTCAAAGCTGTGCATTCCTAAATAATGGGTTTTCCTTCAGTAGAGATCTGTAGATCAACAGAGATTGCATGAATGACTGCCTCATCCGATGAAAGAGCTTCCCTTAATTCTACTGTCTTCTCCGTTACCTATTTCACTCGCACGGAGCTCAGCAATTCTGAAAGTCAGCCTCGTCAGAAGAAAAGTTAAGGATTAGACAGAAACAAAGAGACTGCAATTCCCTAACAGCGTGCTCAAAACGTAGGTGATTCTTTCCAGGAAAGCTGACCTGTAAAATAATATGTTTATTATGCCAGTTTACAGGCAATTGTAAAGAGATGGTAGTGCACCTCTTGGGCGCCTTCCAAAACCTCGAAGAC